GTCAAAGTAGATTTCAAAGTTCGCCAAAATGTTTCCCGAATTTGGTGTTTTTGCCAACTTTTTCATTACTCGTCCAAATACGCCGAAACTGAATACAGATATACCCTAAAGCTTATACATATCAGACACAAAAACAAAACAAAAAAAAAGCAAATATTCAGGGAAATATGGAAGTTTCGGTGAAAAATTCGCCGAAAATGACACCACCTATTGACCACGAGTGTTCGGTAGCTCACTTCTTGAGCGACACGCTGCTGGTTTGGCGCTGCGCTGCGAGGTTGGTAGTAGAGGATAGGAAGGCAGAGGGGAGGAGGCCATACCTGCAGTAAGGGGGGGACTTACCCGGTGCCATAGCTGGGACTCCCCGCGCACGCCACCTGCACACGACGGCGTTCGACCATCAGTATGGCAGCCCCCACCTTCAGGTGAGACAGCGAGGAAGACGACACCTTCTTCTTCTTCTTCAGTCTCCCTCTCGTCTCCCACCTTCCTCGTCCTTCCTCCTTCGTCCTCCTCCTTTCTTCTTCTTCTTCTTCTTCTACTTCTACTTCTTCAGATAGAGAGAGAGAGGTTACAGGCAGACAATACAGGCAGAGGTTACAGCGGGCATAGCGCCCAGGATCCTACCCGACATTTTTGAGGCAGACATTGATTGGACATTCGGCATGGGACTATTCTTGGGACTTCGCTATCGCGATCTTGGTCTTCTCCCTCGCCTCCATCTTCGTCTCGCCTCTCCCCCCATCTCTCATCCGTGGTGTCTCCCCCATGTGCGTATACAATGAGGGACCTGTCTTCTATGTGTGCGGTCCCTCCTCCTCCTCCTTTCACATGTGTGGTGTATGATGGGATATCGCGTCAGTCCCAGTCAGGTCAGGACTTATCTTTGAGTCTTCCACTGCACTACTTTGTGCCGTTTTGTATGTATGGGGATGTACATTGCTTGTTGATGTTTCACTGACATTGCATCGTCCATCCAGTCCTTTTCATCACATTGCGGATCCTTGGCTCCATACACATTGCCCAACTGGGGATGTGTCAGTTACCCTCAACACTTGGCCTATCTAACGGAGTCCGTCTACTTCCCTTCCCTCCGTGTTGCATACTCATGCAACATAGTCATAAGTATGGGGCAGATTTCCAGAACCGACCAGATAATACAGAGTTAATACAAATACAGCAAAAGAGTTGATACCCATGGACTGACTCTGACCTGACTCGGACTGCAATCGAACACTCTCAATCATACATCAGTGGTGTGAAAGCCCTGGCCTGGGACATAGAAAAAAAGGCCGGGGCGATTCCATACACAAATGAATGGAGGGAGACGAGAGATGAAGGGAGGAGGAGAGGCAAGATGACGTCAACTCAATATTTCCAAAGATGGTATCTTGAAATGTCAAGAGTAGCGCAAATCCGAAATGTCGCAAACACAGAGTCTCACAGTGTCTCAGATATCGATCTCACAATGTCAAGGTACATCTTCAGAGGTAGATGAAATCAGATCCCAAGAGTAGTCCTCAACCTACAGTCTCACTGTTGCTGTCTCCAATATCATCAGAACTCGTAACCATCCTTCATCCCGTAGTAGTTCCGTAGGAGAACCCAGGAGTAGACTTAGACTTAGAAGGTAGGAGGAGAGGGAGAGAGAGGGAGGGAGAGAGCGGCGGAGGAAACAGAGGGAGAGAAGGCAAGGCCTTTCTCCCTGGTACCTGATCCGGTGGCTATGGCGCTGCAGAAGGCTGGCGCTGGGCCGCGGGCTGGGCCGGTGGCTGGCGCTGTTCCAACTGCTGCGCTGATGCCTTCTCGCCACCGTGCTTGCTCTCTCCTCGCTGCTCATGCTAACGCTGCCGCGCTGCGCTAATCCTGCTAATGCTGAAGCGCTGCGCTAATCCTGAAGACTAACACGTAGACTAACCTCCTGTCTCTACTAACCTACCTGACTGAGGCTGGTACCCAGCTTATGTAGTGCTGGGTCGGCCTCAGTCCTACTGAGTGCCTTCGGGTCTGGACCGTTGATTGGGCCCAACGTTTCAGATCCGATTTCAAAATCTGAATCATTGGCGCCTAAACTGCACCGCCGGCCGGTCCTACCGATGGACCGGTACCTTGCCTCTCCAACTAACCGTTGGGTCTGGTGGGGTCTAAACGACGCCTACCGGACGTTATACTGAACCGACGGTTCCTAGGCCTACCTGGACCTGTCTGGAACCGTCGTGACCTGGTACCTAGGCGCCAGAAGGCTGGCGCTGGGCCGCGGGCTGGGACGGTGGCTGGCGCTGTTCCGACTGCTGCGCTGATGTCTTCTCGCCGCCGTGCTTGCTCTCTCCTCGCTGCTCATGCTAACGCTGCCGCTCTGCGCTAATCCTGCTAATGCTGAAGCACTGCACTAATCCTGAAGACTACCGCGTAGACTAACCTCCTGTCTCTACTAACCTACCTGACTGAGGCTGGTACCCAGCTTATGTAGTGCTGGGTCAGCCTCAGTCCTACTGAGTGCCTTCGGGTCTGGACCGTTGATTGGGGCCAATGTTTCAGATCCGATTTCGAAATCTGAATCATTGGCGCCTAAACTGCACCGCCGGCCGGTCCTACCGATGGACCGGAACCTTGCCTCTCCAACTAACCGTTGGGTCTGGTGGGGTCTAAACGAGGCCTACTGGACCCTAAACTGAACCGACAGTTCCTAGGCCTACCTGGGCCTGTCTGGGACCGTCGTGACCTGGTACCTAGGCCTAAACCGTGCCTACTACAGAACCGGGCCCTAACTGGGGCCCGTGTGGTATCAGTATGCCACATGCCGCGTCCGTCACTACAGATACCTGCAATTGATGGCCAACCAGCATTTATTATGCGCCGCCAGCAACACCCTCAGGAATTATTTAACACCGTGGCCCTCAACTCTCCGAATTCGGCCCTCAAGTGTTTTAGCATTATTCTTGTGAGGGTTGTGTGGCCCTCAACTCTCCGAATTCTTTTGAGGCCCGACAGGGCCTGGCTAATAGTCACGTGAATCCTTTCAGTATGCCCTCAGCAAGTGTGTTGTAGCGACGCAGTGATCATGTCTACATTTCGGGGGGGGGTGAGGAAATAGCAACAATGCTTTTTTCCCCCACTCATATATCCAGGTGCCTGTGGATACACCTGTCTCCAGTTTCAATGGTTGATCATTAGGTAGATGTTACTGGGGCCACCAATACTACAGCCGGAGACAGCCAGGCCCGGTGCAGGTGGGTCCAGGTGGGTGTGGGTAGAGAAACCTTGTCAAAGCAAAGGGCGGACCTGGGCAGTATGGACAAGTGAGGGTGATGGAAACAGGGCCAGTTATGCCAGGTCCAGGTGAGGTTATATACTTGGGGAACTGGGTGCGTGGAGGTAGTGCGAATAAGCTTGGATCTGGGCAGGTCCAGCTGAGGTACTCCTTCAAGGTCCATCCAGGGATTGGCCCGGATTTGTACACTCAAATTGAGCCTGCCTACAGTTGGGCCACGTTGTAGGGATTTTTGAATCCCAGTCATGGACGGGTCCAGGTGCCTAATATCATCCAGGATTCCAGGTTCAATTTCAGTCAGGTGAGGGTGTGGGAGAAGTTATGGGTTTGTGAGATCTGGCCCATAGGCATTTAATTCAAGGATGATATAGTGATGCAAAGACTTTGCCACAAATTCTTCAAAATTCGCACAATAACAGTCATAACAAACTCTGAAAAAAAGAAACAGGGCCCACATATACGCCCGGCACCTGGAAAAGTAGCCACAGGCGCGAGGACAGTAAACAGTTGAGCCCAACCTGAGAACAGTATCAAAGGTGCAGCGAACTTTACAGAAACATCCAGACTTGCTGGGAACAGGCACACAGGTTGCAAAGAGGATCAAATCCTTGCCAGACGAGATGAGTAAAATCTCAGCCGTTTGAGGAGGCAACCTGAGGCAGCAGTCAAGGCCGGGGCAACTCTACAAAAGCAGGCCCTGCACCAGTTTGAGGATTCATTTTGCAGGAGACTTCTAGTGCCACGCAGAAGTACTCGTGTGCTGCAGGAGACTGACTACTTGCGGCAGGCAGAAGTAGTTAATGGGCAAGGCAGCCGAAGCCAAGCGGGGGCTGTCTGTAGTGTAGAGGTCTGCTGCCTCCACAGCTGTAGGATAGTGAGCAAGAGTTAGGACAGAGGGTTGGAGGTGATCTGGTATGTGGAAAGAGAGTCGATGTTTTGCTGAGTACCTTGTGTCTTCTGGTTGCTGCTCTTCTCAGTGATTTTTTCCTTGTTTTAAGCTCTGACAGTGATGACTTCTATGCTTCAAGAGGTGCGGTGAATTGTCATTTCCATACTGGTTGCACTACCATCTTCCCCCCAACAGCATGCCCAGTCGTTATCACTGCATGTGAACTGAAAGTTGACCACATACAGCAATAATGACCGGGCCTTCTATTCGGGTGCGAGTGGTATTGCTTGCCTTTAGGACGCAGAACCAGAGACAGGAATGGTTTTGGAGAGACTCTCTCTCTCTCTCTCTCTCTCTCTCTCTCTCTCTCTCTCTCTCTCTCTCTCTCTCTCTCTCTCTCTCTCTCTCTCAGAGAGAGAGAGAGAGAGAGAGAGAGAGAGAGAGAGAGAGAGAGAGAGAGAGAGAGAGAGAGAGAGAGAGAGATCAGAGTGGCAGGATGGTAGCTGTAATTGGGCGTTGGGTGGAGAGAGAGTGCTTGGCAAGAGAGAGGGGAGACCACTGGAAGAGAATTACCAGGTGTAGAAGAGGGAGAAGTTCCACATTGTAATTCCGGATTACTAGTGAAATAACTTTTCTTTTCCCCTTCCCCAAGTTTCCCTATTCCACCATAAACATCATCAGTGCTTCTCTTCGCACATGCAACGGAACCCCTGAACCTCTCAGCAGTACTCTACTAAATCTCCAATCCGTAGCCTGTTGTGCAGTAAAAGTAAAGCACAAAGCCACGAGTCAACACATGTCGCCTTACCAGATGTACACGAACAGTGGATGGTGGATGACCCGAAGAGGCTCCCTTGTGTGTGCCATGAATGCGATCCCAGAGTCCATTCCCTCTTGAAACTTGATTCCCCAAGCTGCCTCCACCTCTCTGACATGTTCTGAAGCGAAGCAACCATGCAAAAGCCGATTACATTTTTACTCATCAACCCTGCCCTCACAACCAAGCACCCCAGCCAACACACAAACCCCCACGACAAAGCAAGTTGCATAACCTCATACGGTGCGAGGATATTCCAATGAGGATAGTTTGGCCCAATCCAATGAATATCTGTTCATACTTAGCAGCACATCATACGGATGCAAAACACTTTCACCTGCTCCATGATAGGCTACAGTAGACACCAGGCAACCCTGACAACCCTGTACTGGGACAGACTCACTCTGCAGGCCATGATAGGCAACAGTAGACCCCAGGCAACCCTGTTAAAACACAGTATTAGGACAGATTCGGTCTTGCAGGAACCCCACCAGTGCATTTGTCTTTGACTGATTGTCTTTGCTAGCGGGCAGCTGGTCACTCCACGGTCAGGTTCATGCTTTCTAAGCACAAGCATAGGACCTGTAATGAACTCAGAAAATGCGAGAAGCTTCAGCAACAGAAACATGCAAATAGTCTCAATGCGGTCAATTGGGAACAAATCGCAATGTAGAACAAGCACTTAAGTCCCAGGCTTAGCAGCTAGTAAAAGAAGTGAGACAAACGTGGAGAAGCAGTAAGAAGATGGAGGGTAGTTTCATTAGTAATCAATAGTTGCTATTGAAACTGGACCTTCCATGGGACCTTCAGCTCCTCCTTCCTCGGGACTCTCAGTTCTCTACGGTGTCAGTGCAAATACCCTGACAAGGGTATCCGCCCTGGTTTTTGCAAATGACAGAAAATAAGTTTGGTTTAAAAGTTTTAAGCATACCGCGCGAAGGCGTGGCAGTGTCTGCAGTTTACGTTGACATGTTTGGTTGACTAGAGTAGAGTGTGTGTGGGCGCGCAGGCTTGAGGCGCGCGTGATTTTAATTGTTGATGATTGAAGAACCGGCGTGATCGCCGGCCAGACGTTTATTTCTGATTACGCTAAGATTAAAAAGATCCCGTCTTGTGATTGGTGCGCTAACCTGTGACTTGCGCGTGCGTACGGAGGAAGACATCGACGATAAGGCGACTTTGAAAAAGCTTCGAGAAAATCTGCGCGTCGCGCAGCGTCCGCTTATCTAAGGTGTCCGTCAAAACTAGACCCAGACTTGGGCCTAGCATTATTGGTTACAGCGTTGGACTTTCACCAGAGAGATTCAGGGATCGAGGTCGACCGGCGATGACGAGGGGATATCAGAGTAGCGCGAAGGGACCGAGGGGTTGGGAGCTCAGCAGGCCTATCCCCTATGGTGTTGTCGTCGGCAGCGTCAGAACGGTGCTAGCATTTTCTTTTTCCCTCACTCGTCATATTCTGACGATTAAAAGTTTCTAAATATTTTTATTTATTGTAGCACTATTATCTTGCTCCGTCGTTCTTTGACTCAGACGCGACGTTGGGTTTAGTGGCCATCGTGGCGGGGGACCTTGAGCAGGTGCCTCCTTGGTTGACCTACAGGCCCTCGCGTATTCGGGATGTTGACGAAGTGGTGCGGACCCTTTGTGGGTATACTGGCCACTGGCCGTGAGTCGGCCGCGGAAGATCTGGGTGTGAGCATGGTCGTTGGGACCCAGAGAATGGCGGGCTGAGCCTGGGCGGAGTAGACCAGGACACAGTAGTAGGAGCCGCAGGAGGGGCACCGTGGCCAGCCACGTAGGACCCCTCCTCCACCTCGCGCTTCAAAGCTGATATTCGAATATTGCTACTACCACCAAGGTCTGTACCGGGACCTGCGTCGCAGGGCTCATGACTGCAAGAGATGCCACAAGCTCTGCATTCCGCCTATGCAGCAAGGCGTTGGAGTTACCTTGACAGTCGGGCATACGCTGTGCTCGTCGGTGCCAGCTGCTGTCGGGGTTGATCGTTTAGTAGGTGAGTTATTACTCACTTCTTCGTGAGTTTTGACTTCCATGACTACCGTTCCGCTGCCAGTATCAGTCAAGTGGCAATTGTATTAGCACACGGATTGGTGATCGGTGTCGAGGATAGGGCGTGAAGTCTTGGCTTAGGAGAGGAGCTAAAAGTAGCGAAGAGAGAGAGTGAATCCGGACGGGAAAGTGCACCGGATGCGTGCATGGCAAGGTTGGAGGTGAAAGAAGCAAGAACGACTGGAGAGACCGCTGCACCGAGGCGCAGACAGATCAAAGGTGAGAAACGCGAAGGCGACCAAAGCAGGGAGGGTGAACCTTGGCACAGAGTAGCACCGGGTGCATTCGAAGTTAGAGATGGAAAGGAGCGAGAACATGGTGGAGAGGAAAATGCCCACCTTAATCGATTCTTGATAGAATCAGGCGGGGAAAAATGTCATATGGGGGGTTTCGATTATTGTGAGTGCAATAACATTGTTAATTCCAGTTAGAAGTTAGTAGATTAGGCGGTACTAAGAAAAATTGCTGCGCGGAGGTTCTCGATTAAAGCTATGGAAGAAAGTCAAAAATCAAGAGTCTCACTCGTTTCTTAGTTAAACTAAGCGAGAGACGAAGTTAAGTTGAGGTTTTACATCGGGCGAATCCGTTACTGAAGTTAGTTTTGGCAATGGATTAGTAGGATGAGAGTTAGTACGAAAGTGACGGGCGCGGAGATGGCGATGGGGAAGACGAGAAGGAGAGGCAGAAAACTCGGATCTTACTCATTCCTCGTCGGAAACAAGCGGGAGAAGAGTCAATTCGGAGGTTTTGAGGGGTAGCGAACTCGATTACGAAGTCAGTTGGGTGATTAGGTTAGTAGAACGGAAGCTAGTAAGAAAATGGGTTGTGCGAGGGAGCCGGGAAGTGGGATGAAGTAAGAAGTAAGAGTATGTATCTCGCACGTTTTTGGGCAAAGATTGGACGAAAGAAAAGTCTAGCTAAGGGTTTTTGGGTTAGGCGAAGTTAGTGATGGTGTTAGAAATGAGAGAGACATGCTAATTTCGGAGTAGTAAATGATAGAGCTGCGCGCGACTGGATGGTTAAAAGCGGGAGGCATTTGAGTATGTGGAAAGATACGGAGGCAGCACGTGGGAAGAGTCGTATTGAAGAACGTCGATCTCCTTTGTGCTCTAGCGGGAATGCCATTTCGTTGTCCCTCCTCGTAATGCTCGTCATCCCGGTGTACACTTGCGGGAGAGCCGAAAGACGGACTTCCTTGACCGATTGCGATCTTGCTTATTCGAGCGACGGAAGGGATGATCGGATCACACGGTTTTGTCACGGTTGTCCTAGCAAGCGCGCTGCGATTGGAAGCCTCATTCGAGCATCATTGGTCACACTTGCTGCTCGTCGTCCGGATCATTAAGGCCACCCAACCTGGTCACCGAGGTAATTGAGGCCAATGCGTAACGCATCTAGCCATGGTCGTGGGGAGAATCCATTCGCAGTTTGCGTAAAGAAGTCGTTAGAATAACTGGAGGCAAGCAACAAAAGTGAAAGTTGCCTGTGGATGGGAGCGTTGTTTGTCCGGGCGACAGAAGGAGCGTGAAAACCAGACGAGAAATCGAAAGATTGCCTGTTTAGCCGAAGGCGCTGTCCACCGTGCCAAAACGGAGTGGTCGAGGGCCAACTGCGAGTCTGCAAGTTTACCCGTTGGCCGGTGAGCGGCTATTCAGTTGAAACGAGCTAACTGCAAGCGAACAACAAGGAGGGAGTCGCGGGCTGACTACTTATCTCGTTGGCTGGTACGTTGCCCATCCTACCGAACGAGGTAGCATGAGTTCGATCGTGAACCGGGTGCTTGATGAGGCTTGGTGAGGACTACATAGTCGGTATCTACGAGCACTCTGCCCGCTGTACAACCAGTTAGACCACGTTATTTTTGATCCACAGCCAGTGTCTTGGGCTATGGTTAGATACAGTTCAAGCCGCGAAGCATGGCGGAAGGACCGAGCTCGTAGAAGGGGAGTGTTGCTGCTATTTGGAGAGATTTTCAGGGAGTCAGCAGCCAATAGTTTGACTATTGCTTAACCAAGTTGTTGCTGCGCATTCTAACTACCATTGTGGGGCCCTCAGGCGGCTGAAGATTACAAGGCCCTCTCCTGCGAGTTGAGTTGTCCCTCTCTTATATCTCGAGCGTATGAAACCCCTCCTTCTGCCCTTCTTACTCTAAGTCTAATCCTGTTCTAAGAGGAAGGCGGCAGGCGGGATTGCAACCCGTAGGACCGCAGCAAGACTCTGTTGGGAGTCAGCCCACCGATTGCGGGAGCTCTGTCAGAACTCAGGAGGAGTTCTGGAGGCAGGGAACTGAGAGGTAACCATTGCTTTCCTTTTATAAACCCAACTATAACCCATATGCGTACTTCTTGCTATGTTTGACTGAGTATACTGCGTGCACCCTTACTTGGACTTTTGAGTTTGACTTTCAGGACTTAAACCAGACTTAAATAAAGGAAGGTATGCGCAATGTCAGTTTCACTTTTGTTGTCCGATTGAGAGCAGATTGTGGGATTGCATCTGGGGGAAGGATGGGAGGAAGGCAGTATTGCTCGAGTCTGACTGGGTCTATCAAAGGCTGGGCAAGTCTCCATAAGTTTGGGGAGGCCCAGCGCTATGTTTATTTTTGAATTGCCTGGAGGACCAGACATGTTCCATAAGTTTGGGTGGTCTGGTTGCTCTAACTTGTGAGGGCTGTCTGTGGCTGAGTTTTTAGGAACCAAGCATTGTCCCATAAGTTTGGGTGGCTTGGTTGCCTTGTTTATTTTGGGTTTTCTTAGTTTCTTTTGATTATGAACGAGGGTGTCTGAGCATGTTCCATAAGTTTGGGTGGCTCAACCCCTTCCTGTTTTATTAAAGGGAACGAATCACGCAGAGGACCAGACATGTTCCATAAGTTTGGGTGGTCTTGGTCTAATGCAACGCACGTGCTGGAACCAAAAGGTTATAACTTGGCTATATTTTATTACTATCCTACTAATGAACATGCTAGCCAGGCAAAGTTCCATAAGTTGGGTGGTCTGACTATAGCTTATCACAAACTGAAGAGAGTATTAACTAAGAATAAACTTA